CGAACCAAAATAAACCAAGTAACCTGTAATAGAGCGGCCATCCGTCATATCATTTGCCCAATCAGAATCAGAATAGGCTTGCAGCATCTGCGATCCCTTCCGAAAGATTAATCCCCGATCAATTGTGCCTTTGACATAGCGTAGGATACGGGTCAACGACTGGAAATCCCGTTCTGTAGGAGCATGCATACGCTGACAGACATGATTTACCGCAAACTGAATGTCTGGCCTGGTATTAGTCAAATATTGAAGAGAACCAACCAAGCTGCGGAAGAAGGTAGGATTTGCGAAGGGACGGTCCGCCCCTTCCTCGGACGACCGTACGGGAATAGGGGATGGCGATGGCTTGCACTCCTCCACACCAGCTTTCTGAAGTAAATCCCGGGCATATTTTTCTTGAGAAACAACAAGATAATCCTTCGTACGTTTGACCTCAAGACCCAAAAAATAGTGAAGAGGGCCAAGATCCTTCATCTGAAACTCGCGCTGCATGGAGTGAATAAATGCAATGATAAGGGAGGGATCACTACCAGTGACAATAATATCATCCACATATAGCAGAACAATAAGGACAGCATGAGTGGAGTGTTTGACGAAGAAACTGGTGTCATGCTCATTTTTTCCAAAACCATAGTCCTGTAAAAAAACCTGAGAGTCGCTCGTACCAGGCCCGGGGAGCCTGTTTGAGTCCATATAAGGACTTCCTCAATTTGCACACATGACGTGGGTACTTCTGATCAATATAGCCAGGTGGCTGCTTCATGTATATCTCATCGGGGACTACTCCATGAAGAAATGCGTTGGAAACATCCAACTGATGTAGTGGCCAGTTATGATTTACTGCAAGAGAGAGAATCAAGCGAATGGTCTGTTGTTTGACCACGGGACTGGAAGTTTCCGAGTAGTCCAAGCCATATTCCTGTGTATACCCTTTTGCCACCAACCGTGCTTTGTACCTGCTAATAGAACCATCAGAGTTACGTTTAATTTTGTAAATCCACTTACAACCAATCGGAACCCGATCTGTAGGACAGGGAACCAAGTCCCATGTGTGCTGATTTATCAAGGCAGAGTATTCTTCGTCCATAGCCTGACACCAATAAGTACTTTGGGAGGCTTCCTTATATGTAACAGGCTCAGTATCAGGTGGAGGAGAGTGAGGGACAGAAGTAGAGTATAGTTTGGGTTTGAAGATACCACTTCGGGAACGGGTTNCATGAGCCAGAGTAAGGGAGGAAACAATATTCAAGACATTGTCAAGATAGGTTTGCATGGAATCACTCCCTTTTTGAAGACTATGGAGACGTTCTTTCAACTGAAAAATATGGGTGCGAGATAGAGAATTATACCGTTGCTCAAGGTGAGTCCATATAGCTGCAGACGTGGGAAGAGAATGGATGTGCGTTTGAACAGTGGGGGAGACGATGGCCAATAAACATGCACGGATCTGGGCATCGACAATCAGCCACATCTCATAGGCTGGATTTGCCTTCATGACGGGTGGATCTTCCTTGCCGGAGGTAGCAGCTTTTTCGTCAAGGAGAAGAGAGGGAGGTGCCGGTTCCGTTCCATCAACGTAACCGAGAAGACGATGAGCCATAAGATTAGCGCGAATAGTTGCTGACCAAGAGGGATAGTTTGAATCATCAAGTTTCGCCGGAGTAAGAGATTGGAGATTCCGTACGAATAGCTTGAGGCCAGTGGGGAGGTGATCCATCGGATCAGCTGTTGTGGGAGCCATGGTGACTGCCGAAGAAGATGTTGGGGCTGAAGAAGGAGCTGCTGCTGAGAGACAGGAAGGTGCTGCCGCCGAAGATAGTGCTGCGGCTGAGAGGAAGGTACTGCCGAACAAAAAAGTGTTGCGGCTGAGAAACCCTATGCGTGAAGAATTTTTTTTTCTTCTGCTTGCGTTAACCCATGAGACAGAGAGGTGGATCGTGAAGCTCTGATACCATGTTGAATTAATATGAATTAATGGATTTTACTTAAGCAATAGAGGTGAATACATGTGAGTATATATAGCTAGAGATCCTAACCATACTAGGATTAGGATTCTTCTAATATGGTAACTAACTATAATACAATTCTACTATAACTAGGAATATTACTATAGTGTCTAACAAAATACATAGAACAGAGTATATAAATAAAAGAAAATACAAATACTTACATAAGACGTATCACATAAAAATCAAACATTATCACAAAACCAACTATCCTAAAACATATTTGTAAAATTATGCAAACCATCTGGGTTAGATGAACTTGTGTAGGCGTTGGAAGTCCCTGCGAAGTGAGTAAAAGTGTGAAGTTGTTGGGAAGATCCCCCCACCAAAAAAATTATCCTACGTTGCTCGTACGGCTGCATAGGAGTCCTCAACTTCTTGATTGGTATCTTCATCGTTATCTTCCTGATCTTCACCACCACCCGGTAATTTCACGCCCTCAAAGTGTTCATTACGAGCAAGTTTATCTAATCTATTATTGATGATGTCTCTGTAATTTGAACAGTCGCTAACATAATGTTCGGGTCCATAAGACTCTTATCAACACGATCTCTCACTATAATCAGAGTTCTTACCTAAATAATTAAAATAAGTTACGTAAGATGTAACATTATTAAATTGAAATGTGAATTTTAAATTTACGCACTGCAAAAATAAGTGCAGTCGTAGAGCTTTTGGTGTTGCACTCGTGGTGATGTGCGGGATTGCGTATCAAACAACGACCAAAAAAAAGTAAACCAATCTCCATAACTGACTGCTAAATCCTCTCCAACATTGAGTGGGGAGTTTCAGGGGATCAATTTGTTTCTAAAATTTTATACTCTGTATTTCTAAATTTGTTTCAACGGGATTGCACTCGTGTTTCTAAAATTTTATACTCTGTATTTCAAATGGATCAATTTGTTTTCTCCTTTAGAACTTAAAAACATTATTTCTAATAAGTTATGAATTTAGAGAGCTGGAAATCTTCGAGTTGCTTTTTGTACATAAAAACAAGCAACAAATACAAGCGAACCTATTTAAGATAAGCTCACTCTAAATATATTTGAAAGAAGATTGAGCTTATATTTAAAAGACCTATTACAAAAGTTTTCCCTTTACACAAATATAACAAAAACATTTCTCTCTATAATTTTGTACCTGCACATTTTTAAGGAGTATATCACAAGTTAATCAAAAGAAGAGACATTAAGCAAAAATTAAATTTTAATTTATGGCGTTCAATCAACAAAATTTAAAATGTACAAAGTAATATTTTAGATAAAAATGTTTTTTTAGAAAATATTTTGACTCTCTCAGAACTGAAATTAAATGTGCGAATCTACCAAACTAATTCTCAATCCTAAATCGTTGTTGAAGAACTTGCCGCGCGGTCCAAAACAAATTAAAAATTTATAAATAACCTTAACTAACCTCCAAGATATAATCAAATAAAAACTATAGTTAGGACAAGTAAGGGTCAATCCCACGGATAAAGTTTGTACTTTTAAAATCAAATTAGCATGCACAAACATTGTCACTAAACAAAACAAACTAACTACTACACATATGATAAGACATATAAAAATTTTAATTAAATAAATATAAAAACTCATAAATATAACTTATATAAACAAAGAACGAACTTATAATATAACTTATAAACATACAACACATACTTAGAATATACTAAAAAAATATAAAAACTTATATTTATAACTTATAAACAAATAAGAGGAGGGGGGTTGAATAAAAAGTAAATATTTTTTGGTTTTTTATATTTTTCTTATTTTTTTTGGTTTTTTTGATAAAATGGGGGAAAGCAAGCTCTAAAGATAATCAACTTCTCCAACTTAGGTAACCCAAGAAACACCGCCAAAAATCCAAAACAAAATGAAAAAGAAAACAAACACAAGTCGAACATTACACATATAATAGGCACGTAGACAATATATTACGTAACTTACGCACTTAAGAATAGAAAATAATTCAAAGGCTCGAGTTGATTCATATCCTTGACCACATATAGAGGATCGTCAACTCTCTATAAGGCCCGGAGTCAAAGATTCCAAGGCCTTTTGGATCACTTTGAACCCCCACTCACCTCAAGCGCTCAAACAATGATTCCAAAAGATGAAAAAGTTCATAAAAGATCGAATCTTTCTTTCATTCTAACTCCGATGCACAAAGTATTCATGAAGAACATTTTATACACTTTAATAAACTTTAACGTCTAATGATGAAAATATTTTGCAGGTCTCCTTAAATAACTCAAGCATAAGAATTGTAATCTATTCACATAAAAGAACATTACATATTTTCAAAAACTTAAAAATTGGTTTTGTGCTTAAACAACCTTAAATTTTATGAAAATCAATACAAAACAAATGAACGACATAACAATCACTTCATAACGAATCTTAAGGAAAATGTCCAACCTATGGAGCTAAGAAGTCCATAATCCGTAAAATTTTACAAAACACATAGCACAACAAATAATCACATATGAATTCGGAAATCATTTAACTATAATATGGAGCTAAAATAGCTTCAATGAAAACCAAATTCTACATACCAACCTACTTATGAAATCAAACCGTGCGATTCAACCAATTCAACAACAATTTGCACAACAATTGAAGAAAACTAGTACGAATCAATTCTCATTCATAAGGGATTTAATATAACATTTAAAAAAACCATAAAAAACACCAACCATTTTGGAATTTTGAAAATTAACACAAACAAGGAAAAAAATTGTAAGTTTTAGATTGAAACAACACTTTTACAAAGAAATTGGAGAAGAAAAAAGAAATTGACAAATAAGGGTTACCAAATTGTTGAAGAAAATGAAGAGGATGAAGAATTTGGAGCTGGAGGAGACTGCCCACCGCTCGCCGGAGCTTTTGCCGCCGCTGGTTCGCGTCTGCCGGCCGCCGCAGCTCTTAATCATCTATGTTCCCTCGTGTGTTCCCCCCTTTTGAAGCTTTAATCATCATCAATTTTTAGCAAGAGGATTGTTTACTGTTGTAGATTTGAGTGAGTAGAGAGTGTCGTTTCTATTGATTGAGGCGAAACTGACGGAGGTGCGTTGAAGAAGCCGGGCGCTGGTTTATCGCGAAGAGGAAGAAGAAGTCGTAGACTTCAATTCTCCGTTCTTTTATTTTTTTTTCCTTTCTTGCGTAAATCTTAAGAGGACAAGTCCTGGAATTGAAGTCTACGATGGGTTTGGGCTCTAGCCAAAATCAATATCTTCTTTCCAAAATTGAGCTGCATTTTTGGCCTTTTGCTATATTTTTCTCCAAAAAATAAGATATCTGATAATTTTGGGTTAGGGAAATAATAAAATGAAGAAAATAATAAAATGTAAAAAATGATTAAAAAACTACTATTTTTGAAAGAAAAATAAAAGATTGTAAAAATGAGAATTAAAATAAAACTAAGCAAAAAAACTAAAAACTAAACTCTAAAAGTATTAAAAATACCTAAAAAAGAATAAAAAAACTAACTCAAATCCGACTTATCAATCGAGAGAGAATAAAGATTTAACCTCGATTTTGGGTTTAAAAATCCTTACATTTGTAGAATTATGTTCTTCGTTTCCAAGAAAGCCTATCGAACCCGAATTGGCTTGCGGAAGGAAATGATCTTCCGTCCTAACCCCTAGATGTTGCTCACTCACAGGTAAACATGAACGTTAGCTGGTTATCTTTGTCTAAATACCCAACCCAGGTCGTTCGTTGCTCATTCCCTCTCACTTTAGGAACAAAAATATGAATATATACTCCATAGAAAATGTTGAAATATTGAAATAATAATATTGCTCATTGAATTATGGAGCACATGATAGTGTATATATAGGATAGACTCCTAACACAACTAGGAATATAGAATAAAAATAACTAACATACAACATCTACCACAAATAGAATTAGAAAGATGACTAATAATGAAACACTACCATAACCAATACTATAAGAAGTACTATTAATATTATTGTCTAACATCCCCCCTCAAGCTGAACTCTGGCTGAAGCAAGAGGAAGTTTGGACACTAGCTGGAAACAGGAAACTTTGAGAAGAGAGAAGTCTAACATGCACCGGTGGCTGCTCAGATCGTTGGAGAAGAGAGAAGTGTGACGCGCGCCGGTGGCTGCTGACGTCGTTGGAGAAGAGAGAAATCTGACATGCGCCGGTGGCTGCTGACGTCGTTGAAGAAGAGAGAAGCCTGACGTACGTGCACTGGTAGTTGCTAACGTCGTTGGAGAAGAGAGAAATTGACGTGCGCTAGTAGCTGCTGATGTCGATGGAGATGAGAGAAGGTTGACGTGCGCTTGTAGCTGCTGACGTCGAAAAAGAATAGAGAAAGCTATTGGAGGTGCCTGTTTGACTGAAGATCCTTGACATTTTTTGTCTTTTTCTTGGATCCGGGCAATGCCCTATTTCCTTTTTGAAGGGGTGAGTTGTAGAGGTCTTATTTCCTCTTTCACTACTTCCCCTCTTGGCTTTGCTTTTGTGCTAATTTACTTTGGATTTTTTAATGATTCAACAGAAGAGAAAGAGAAGGGAGGTTGATGATTGGAATGAGTGATTTTAGAGAGAAAAAGTAGGTTAAGAATTGGTGATGGAAAAAAATTTGGGTTTGAGATTTTGATGTGGTGAATTGGAGAGAAACAACAATCATTTTTTTTCCTTTTTTTTAGATCTGAGAGAGTTTGTGAGGTGTTGAGTTTTTTTTTTGAAGAACCATGGAGATGACAAAAGAGAAGTTCCTCATTCGATAGTTTTTTTGTGTGATTTCAATAGGAGTTTTTTTTTTTCTTTTTTTTTAAATTTGAATGGAGAAGTTGATTTGAAGATAAAGAAGGAAAAGAAAATAGAGGTGAATAGGGTGGAGCCGCTGTCGCTGGAATTACCAGTGGCGGCGGCGGTGAGAGCAAAGAACTTTTTTCTTAGGTCACCAAGAGCGGTGGCTCTGATACCATGTTGAAATATTGAAATAATAATATTGCTCATTGAATTATGGAGTACATGATAGTGTATATATACGATAGACTCCTAACACAACTAGGAATAGAGAATAGAAATAACTAACATACAACATGTACCACAAATAAAATTAGAAAGCTGACTAATAATGAAATACTACCATAACCAATACTATAAGAAGTACTATTAATATTATTGTCTAACAGAAAAGATCTTATGGACGGATGATGATTGTCGTAGGGTTTGTTGAAGTCGACAGAAGTAATTGTGCCTTAATACTTCAAGATATCAAAGACGGGGCAACACTAAAAATTAGCTAATTTTCTTTAAAAAAATCATTATCTTCATCTTAAAGTAACTTTATTGTGAGGGAAATTGTTGAGAAATGGTGATATGAAAAAGGAGAAGGTGGGAAGAATGATTAAAGTAAAGAGGGAAAAAAGTGGGGAGAAAGGTAGAAAAAGAAGAGAGAAAAACACAAAGGAAAAAGAGAAGGAAGAAAGGCAACGATAAAAGAAGAAATAAGAGGGAAAAAAAGAGAAAGAGGAAAAAAGAAAAAGAATTAGGCTTTTTAATAATGATACGATTTTTTTTTGAAACTATTATTTGTAAACTTATTATAATATATCAAGAATATTTAGTTCTTTTAAAAAAATTAAATAGATTTATGAGTTATGGGCCCACCATTAACAAAAGTTAGGAAAACTTAAAAGAGAAATTGATGTCGACATAAACAAAAACAGAAAGAGGATAAAGTGAGAGGAATGAGTAAAGAATCTCTTATAAAAATTTTCTACTTTGAAAAAAGTTAGATTTAGAGAATAAATAATTTTGTAGAAAATTACCCCACGATATCTTTGATTTTCAAGTTAGAACTCTCAAGTTCACATTATTTAAAATATAAATCGCGTAGTCTTCAATTTTCTTCAAGAATTGTCAATCCCCGCGTCATTTAAAATATATTCTAAGGTCCTTGAAATTTATGATTTTATACTTCGAGGGTACATTTCGTCTATTTAGATGTTATAATTGAAAGTAGTGTTACTTTAACAAATTGAAAGTTTTATTAAAATTTAATAAAATAATAATTATAAAGCTAAAATTTAGTATTTATTAAAATAACGGAACTTTCATGTCTAAAGCCAGATAGACAGAATGTAGTCTCAAAGTTCATTACCACAAATTATAAAGATCTCAAAGTTCATTTCAGATAATATGGGATTTGAGAGGTCTTATCAGAAAATTGAGGATATCTCTACTAAAACACATAGAGTTACCTCTTATTCTAGAGCTTTTATTGATCTCTTCTGTAGTTCTAAGATACACACTCAATTTATGGATCTTACTCCCTCCGTCCCAAATTATAATGTCTGTTTACTATTCACAGGGTCAAACATCATTCACTTTCTTTCTCTATTTTCGTTAGTAATTTGATAAAATAAAATATTATTGTCACTACTAGTTTTGTAGATCTTTTGATGTAGTTTTTTAATATGTAATTTTTATTTTTAATTCTATACCATTTGTCATATAAAATAGTTTGAAAATAATTTCAGTAAACATCGTAAACTGAAACAGGCGCTATAAAATGGGACGGAGGAAGTAGTATATAAATATCATAGATGAATTGAGCTATTTGAAAAATAATTAAAGATTCTCATGTCAACCCATCAAAAATGTGAGAAGACCAACAATTCTCATGTGAACTTTATGATAATGAAAGCACAACTCATTAATTCAGAATTTTCATGTAAACCTGTATCCCTTTATTTTTTTTGGTCTTTTCAATTTTTGATGGGTGATATAAACTTTTTTGATGGGATGTATTTAAATATTGATGTATGTTGAATTAAAAAATTAGAATTATGTATCTAAAAACTTCATAAAAAATTTACAAAATAAGATGTGGTATGAATATAATAAATCATAGATTAAAATATTTGAAAAAAATAGATTTAGTTTATTCTATAAATATTTAATGAGATAAAAACAATCGAACGGAAGGAGTAATTAGTTAAGAATGAATGAAGTAATTTATTCATTTTGATTTAGTGGTGCAATACAATATTCGATTCTATTTGAATCTCATATTATACTCCATGGCATTCACTTATATTTATTTATACTTAAATATTTTTAAATTTTTGTTCTGGAAAATTTTTTTTGTCGTGCAACGCACGGGTTAGTAATACATCAACACAAGGAATATAGTGGGTTTTTTTTTATTGTTGTGGATCAACACATACAAGGTTCATTTTGAAAGGTTCATAACAGCAAAATAACACAACGTACATTACAAATTTAGAGCCAAATATTTTACATCTACACATACATATATTCACCCTCGCGAACAGCATTTGCAGCTCCTTTCCTCTCTTCCTCTGCTTCCTTTTCCCTTTCCTTCCAACTTTCATATTTATGATCATCAGTTTGCAACTCGTGACGGCAGATCGGGCAAGAATTGTGCTCATCCTATAAAACAAAAATCAACATTTAAGAAGAAGAAAAAAAGTGAAATGTAGTGAAAAAATAGATGCAGGCGTAAATGTTTGGAAATTTTGCGCGCATAAAAATTTGGAAGTTTTATCTCCTAGATTACACTCCTTGGCTTAAAAAAAGGAAATATCCTTACCAACCGGGGCTTTATTAGCTTTAAAAAAGGAAATATCCTTACCAACCAGGGTTTCAGACAATGAGGGTGAAACATATGCTTGCAAGGCAATTCTTGCATCATATCATTTCGAACCAAATTGTCCTTGCAGATGGCACATTCAGCATTAGCATCAAGCTTTGCTAAAAATTCATCTGTAACGATAGTAACTGGAAGCTTTGCCACAACCTCTTTACTAGCAGGAGGTGCTCTAGGGACAACAGGTGCATCATCCAAAATCTGAAGAAAAGTATAATACTGGTGTCAGAGAAGAAATGCATCTGTATTGTCATCTGAAATGAAGCCTTTTTATCAAATCTCTCTTTTTGCTTCCCTTTTCTATCACATTAATTCAACCCATGAATCCATGATGCGGAGTAAAATGCTAGGCCTATGTAGTTAATCAAATTGTCACTAACAAATATGTTTTTCCCTCTTGAAATGCATTGAACGCTTCTGCTTAGGAATGCATTATTAAATATTAACCACAAAAATGATTATACAATTGTCTTCTTTTTGGGATTGCAGTCTGCAAGTGTGTGCAATATGTGCATCTTTATGTTTGATAAAGTACTGGCAACACAAATACCAAATGAAGAAAAAAATTGTGACCAGAATCTCATTTTGCAATGTCATGGTTTGAAATCTTACACGCAGAAATCCATGTAGGAGGGATAAAACCATAGTGACATTTTATTGATACAAAGAAAGTTCTCAAATATAGGATAGAATGTTTTGAAGCATTTTGATAAATATCAGTGCTTAAAAAAGGTAAGGTGCAACATACCATTGGGATAATGTCCTCATGTCTATCAGCCAGTTGCTGAAGTAGGTTGGTTACAATAGAATCATCTGACGTGTTACTGTTGGCTGCATGCTCTTCAGAAGACTGTCCATTAGACAATGTCACCGCAGCACTCAGAAGGTTTGACATTACAAGCCAATCAGGTTGTGGAGGCTCAGGATCTACAGTTAGATGACCCTCAAATAGAAATCCTGAAAATTTTGATAGAACTTCAGAATGAGTGAAGCATAATGGTGGTACAGCACCACCTAGAAATCCCAAAATATTAGAACCTCAAAAGGAACCAGATGGAAAGATGCTATTGTACTCGAAAATAATCATCAATAATAAAGTAAACAATGGTGTATATCCACCTCTCGGCCGATTGTCTACAGATGCTGAGTTATCAGACTGATTCTCCACTTCACCAAGGTGATTTCGTGATTGAGCAATGCAGTCCTGCAAATGTTTCCTCTCAGAAAACTCGGACATAAGGTTTTCAGCATCAAGGAAAAGTTGTAATCCAGCATGCCAAAACCCAGGTGATGTATATCTTGTCTTTAAAATTGTTGCAGCACGACACACGACAGAATAGAACTGCAAGCATTTTCCAATGTTAGGCAAAGAGGGAAGCAACAAGTACCTGTTAGTAAAATGGGGCTCCAAACGCAATATATCAGCATAACAAGTATGATTCCATTACGATATCTTGCTAGGGCATTAGCCTTACACAAGTTCACCACCCACTGGTGCAGGCTAAAGAAAGGCATCGCCCCTCCCACCACAGAGATGGCCCTGAAATATTAGGGTCCTCGTAGGATAAAGGGAAACAAGGTCTTAGATTTTTAAAAATAAGACAAATTATTCTAGCAACTATCACATGAGAGATGCCTTCCCACCCACACGCGCAAGTAAGGCCCCCAAAATATTAGGGGCCCTGCACGATAAAGGGAAATGAGGTTTTAAGATTTTAAAATTAAGACAAATTACTCTAGCAACTATCTCATGAGACATGCACTTTTTCATGAACTAAGACACATTTCCCTATATTTGTAGCACTTTTTACTAGTTTGTATAACACTTTTTTGTATGTGATAAGTGCATGAAAACTTTACTTGCCGCAGATTAACTTGTTCTCATGGGATTAGACCATTCAATAAAATACTCCCTCCGTCCCCCATAGGTCACTCGTAGATCTTCCAGACACTATTAATAGGGTCAAACTTAACTCACTTTGTTTGCTTATTTTTGCTACTTATTTCATAAAATAATATAGTCTTGTCCCCTCTTGTTTTGTAGAACTTTTCTAGTTATTTTTTACTATAATTTTTTTTAAAATTATACACCTACAATCAAATAAATTGAATTGAAAATAAAGTCGATCAAGCCTCATAATGCACAATGAGAAGATGTATAGGGGACGGAGGGAGTAATAATCAATGAAATACAAAAAGATATTTCTATTTAAAAAAACATACCATGACTATACAAACTTTCCACCAACTAAACTTTTAAAAAAACATACTATAGTATCTTTTACTTTAAAAATGTTATTATTCTAATATTTTGGAATAAAATCCTCAACAATACATAGATAGCAATCTTTAAATTCAACTCTTCCATAATAGTTTTTAGAATTTACATTCTCATTTCTTAGATATTGAAACAAATCTAATAGATTTATATATAAATTGACCATAAACAATTGAGACCCACTAAAAATTGGGGCCTTGTGGTGTGTCATTCACATTTTTTAATCCTGTCATTCTCTCTTGAGCTTCTCCTTATTTTAATCTACTCAAGCCAACATTGGAGGTAAATTGTTGATAAAAAAATGGGGAAAGTGGAAAAGAAATCAAAATTTGTGCAAAAATACAAGGAAAACAGAAAGAGGAGTAAGAGAAACTAGGAGTCACGAAAAAGTAAAAGAAAACAGGGGAGAGGTTGTAATGATCAACCCAATAACTTTAAGACTTATTCAAACATGGAAATAAACCTATCAACTTATTTGTGTGTGCATTACCAACACAGTATTGTATGTAAACTATAGTTCTTAAAATTACAAAATGAAACATATTGAAATAATAAGTAAAAATGCACTAATTGTAGGATATACTTAGAAGTACCAATTATTGAATAATATAGCTCCTGTTAATCTAAACGTCATAACTTACAAGTTAAAATTTAATTCATTAATTCCTAAAGATTAATAGACTAATATAATGCTTAAATAGAGTACTATTGATTTTAAACTCAATGAGAGCAGGAAACCCTTCTGTAAATAGGGGCGATGTGATTCACATTTCACTATACATATTACACGATATAAATCTAAAAAGGATTCCAACAACACCTAAGGTCATCGTCTAAAAAAACAACGAGGGTGTTCTTAAGTTATGTCACACGCAAAACTGTTCCATTTCTGATACAAGCATGTGACTATTTTGTTGGAATACTGAAAATGGAGTAAAATTATGTCATTTTGTTCATATTGTAATGTGTATCGTTGTAAGGGAGGTCATTAGACATGCCTATGTAATACAATAACAACGCAAAGATGTTCTCAGCAAGAAAAGGTTGGAACAACAAATCACCTTCAATATTCATTAATAAAAAACAAGAGGAATCATTTTCCTATCACAATTTGTACATAGTAGTAACTACAGCAAGAAGGCTTTAAGGAGCTTTCATGAGATTTGTAGCCTAAGAAAGACCGATTAGGTCCCTTTTTCATCCCTATTGATCTACTGTCGCGATCTTCTGACTAAATATCCATCCCTACAGCATAGCAACATCCCTTAAAAAGTACAACCCCCAGCTTATGGTAAATGAAAAGTGTACTTACGTGTAAGAAATAAAATCACCTTACCCTCAACCAACCCTCAAAACCCAAACAGGACGATTTAAATGTCAAGGGACTGCAATTCCTCACAGTAAAATCAAGAAATGCAATTGAATCGACATAAGGATAGAAACAGACCGATGTTCTGAGAGAAGGGGAAGCAGACGGGTAATATTGACACAGCAGAGATCTGACTTTGGAAACCGCTTCCTCGAACGATTGCTTTTTCCCTAACTGTTTCTGCAATTCTTGCAGTTTCTGCTTGATCTCATCCTCGCCCTCCATTCTATTGGGGAATGAATTCAGAATGATTTTTTGTTTTGTGTTTTGAAGTGCTTGACAGATGCTGATGATTCGAGGCGAAGGGATGATATGAAGTGCGAAGCAGGATCCAGGAAACCTTTCTTCCGGAAGAAGAAAGAGGTGATGACTTTGGGAGTCCAGAGTCCGTAGTCCCGTGCAACCCGTTTGGTCAATTATAATTCCTTGGCACAGTTTGGTACACGGAATTCAATTGTAATTGGAATTGGGGACTTCAATTCCAATTCTGGTGTTTGGTAGTACAAAAATTATGTGGATTTGGAATTGATAGTGCAAGAAATGAATTGGAATTGGAAGAATTCAATTCTATGGAATTGAATCCAATAAAATTTCAATTCCAATTCCATCAATTCCGTATACCAAACAGACCCTTACAAGAAATTCAAATTATAGAATTGGAATTGAGGATTTTAATTCCAATTTTAGTGTTTGATAGTACAAAAATTATGTGAATTTGGAATTGATAGTGTAAAAAATAAATTGGAATTGGTAAAATTCAATTCTATAGAATTTAATCCAATGGAATTTCAATCCCAATTCCATCAATTCCGTATACCAAACAGACCCTAATGGTAGGTTAGGGAACATGTATTTGAATTTCAAATCTGGATTTGGCTCAAATTCCATGTTTGGGAAACTTATAAATTTTGAATTTGGATTTGAATCAAATTCTTCTCATTCATAACAAAGCTTAATTTTAATTCATACGCCTCCCTTGTCATTTGAAATTCAAGATTTCAAATTTTAGAATTGAAATTCATGAATTAAAATGAAATTCTAGTTGCCAAACACTATCTAAAAGTTCTCAGTTATAAATCATTTTGCATATTTAGTCCCTACATATTAAGTATCACTAATTTAGTCCCCAATTATTAAATCATTGTTCACGAATGATCTTTTGTTAACGTTTCTGTTAGAAACATGGATAAAATTGTATATTCACATTTCTCTCTCTCCTCAATTAAGCTTCCTTGTTCATCTCGCATTCCTTCCCAAACTCGTCGCTAAGTTTGAAACTTTAAACCCAAAACTGAAACGATCACTCATCTCTCAATTGTTAGTCTTCCTGGTGGAACCTAAAATCAAAACCAATAACCTTTATGGATGAGCTGTATATGTTAGGTTCAAGAAGTTGCAAAGAAAATAAACCTTAAAACTCATCCATGAAAATTACTGGTTTCGAAATTTGGATTACATAAGTTAGACAAACACTTGAGAGAAGATTGATGATTTCGATTTTGGATTCAAAGCTTCAAACTCAGTGACGAGTTTGAGAAATGAGTGCGAGGGAAGAGAGAAAGCTTGAATGAGGAGAGTAGGAAGTGTGAATTTACAATTTTATCCACGTTCTTAACGGAAATGTTAATAAAGGACCATTCGTGGAAAAAAATATAGTAATTGGAGACTAAATTATTGATATTTGATATGTACGAACTAAATATGTAAAACGAACTATAACTAGGGAGTTTTTATGGAATTTACTCTATTCTTATTATTATTCAAACAAGTTTAGGTTCTTGATTCTTCCCACCAATGCTCATTTGTAGCCTGTTTTTTAGGACTGAAAAAAACTAAATGTTGGAAGAAACTGAAAGAAATCAGAAGAAACTAGAATGATTGGAAGAATCGGGAAGGAACTAGAATAAATTGGAAAAACTTCAAAAAAATGGAAAATTTAAAAAAACTTTAAAAAAAATTATTTTAGTGTATTTTAACATTATTCTCATTCTAACTTTAATTGTTATAAATTACTATTATTATTATTATCATCATCATCATGTTATCTTAATAAATGTCTTTAAGATAAAAAAAAAGTATTGTTATTTTTCATACATAAAAAAACTACTTCTGCAAAAAATAATAATATAAACTTAATTAGCATAAATATCAAAATATGAAATTTTAAAAAGTTATTGTGATTACGTTGTACCTCAATCTATTTATACAACATTTATTATAAATAATATATTTTTAATTATCGTTTATATATCACAAGATTCTGTGTTAAATATCAGACATGTCACATAATATAATCAACCTAATTTCTTTCATGATTGACATTTTATTTTCATTGTAACTCACATTTTTTGGGATAAACACATAGAATTTTTTTTACATTTTTTATGTTTTACTCATATTTTAGTTTTTTTCTCTAAACTATTTTGACTTTCAAAGTTTTTTATAAAAATTAGAAAAATGAGAAAATTTCCAGTAATAAAAGGAAAGGGGAAGGGTGTTATATAAAGTTAGATTAATAAAACATTCTATGTAACTATATCCATAATTTTTTAATGTAGTTTAAAATGTTGATGTTTTTCTGTTTTATCATGTAGATTAATATACAAAAAAATTATATTTTTCATATTAAAAAGTTGAGGAAAAAATAACGTGTGTGAATCATAAAAATAATGAGATGAAAAAAATAATTTCTAAACTATAGTTATGAATGTAACAGTTGTAATAATAATAACAATAATAATAATCACATTAAAAACAAATCGTTTTTAGTGTAATTGGTTGGGTAGTAGAAAGTGTTTGAAAAAAATGAGAATAGTTAGAAGAAACTAGAAGAACTGGTACACTTGATGGGGATCTTTCTTCTAAGGAGGAACTGATAGAGATACTTTCTCATGAATTTAAGGTACTAGGGAAAAGGACTGTGCGCGTTGTCAAAATCCTTTGGTGAAATCACACGTCAGAGGATGTCACTTGGGAAACGGAAGAATCTATGAGGGCGCAATATCTACATCTTTTCCATGTCTGACCTTTGGTAAATTTTGAAGACGAAATTTTTTTAAGGAGAGAGAGTTGTAACACCATGAAAACTGGTCTAAAATAATTAAATAATAAAAATACCTGAATTTATGCGTGTGGGCCCCGATGGCCTGAAAAATAAAAATATTAGAAAAAATATTTAGAACACATCACAATGTTCCATTTACTGAGTTAAAAAACGCAATCAGTTTCAAAATCGGCTTGGAACAAAGATTTCATCCATAACTTACATTCATTCTTCTAAGAATTTCCAGGATTCCTTCCATCAAACTGTTAGAATAAATGCCCAACACTAGAGATGGGCGGAGAATAGTGTTTAGAACAAATCGCAGGAAATTAAAACGAAGTGGAAAGTAAAGAGCGTAAAGAAAGGCAAAGCGAATTTTATACTGGTTCACCACAACTTATGGTTAATCTAATCGAACAAGAAAATCTCTCAAAGGTCCTACTAAGTCCGTTAAGCTTACGGGTGCTTAACAAAATGATGTATCTTGAGAACTCGAGTTACACGAGCCTAAATGATGTTTGCTTGGAGATACATCACTATAATACTTCAACTCGAAGGAATATACTCTTCCTTTGTACAAACAAGGTAACAAGCCTCCCTTAAAATGTATAAAACACTTAAACACTCAAGCACAAGACTTTGCTCAAGAGTAGATATTGAGTAAAATAAAGAATGCTAAAGAACACATCAATATTTTCACGGAATGGCTCTCAAATGCTATGAAAAATGTGTATGAACAATGCAATGAAAGAGTATTGAAGTTGTGACGAATTGTATGTTAAAGTAGACCTAAGAGACCCCTTTTTATACCAAAAAATGAGCCGTAATGGCTAGGAGAAGATTGGGGTTGATTGTCATGATTTGTGGAAATTAGATCCAACGTGGATCTACTAAAAATGTGCCTAATGTTGATGTTCAAGTACTAAACTTCGCTATTTTGGCTTTGACTTTCCTTTTGAGTTGTCAAACTGTCATCTCAAAATCGATGTATAAAGCCAACATCATTGTTAGAAGTGTTGACTTCCAAAGAAAAAAAGATTGTTTTAAATTTCTTCCAACGGTCAGGAGCCAACATCGATGTTTAATGTTGAACATCGTTGTTCTTAACTCTATTTCCAAAGGAATGTTTTCAAGCTTTGGATCTAACGTTGATGTAGCATAGCCTACATTGCTGTCAAGATATCAACTACCAAAATCAAGATTTCTCCGGGATTGGTGAAACATCGATGTTTGCACTCCAACATTGTTGTTTTGAATCCTACCGTCAAAGTTAGGATTTTCTAGACTTGGCCAAAAAAGCATTTTTGAGGTTCCAACATCGTTGTTGGGTCTGGTCGCCATAACCATGGTTTGGGCAGTAAACGCCGACAGCCGATGCCAAAAATCAAAGTTTCCCAATTTAAAAACCAAGTATTGGAAGCACTTATTTGATGCAATTTATGTAAAAATCTGTATAAAAACGTAAAATCCATGTTTTTGGGTGAAAACCATGTATCACAAAGTTAAAGGCGGTTTTTATGGTTTTTGACCAAAGACCATAAACCAAAGGTGGTTTTTAGAAAAATTTTGTTGGGAAACCATTTAAATATGCCCAGAACAACTTGACCGACTCAGACGCCAAAAACCAACACAGAAAACCAAATGCCGAATGCCAAATGTTGTGGTTTTGGTTTGGGCAACAACCAACTGTTTTTGGCAACTTAAAACATTTGAGAAGAGTTTTTGGGTGATGCATAAAAATGGTTTCATGATTTTTGTAAAATGTGTTTTAGTTTTTGAGAACCAAGACTTGAAGACCAACACTGGTCTTGATCATAATTGGACCAACCCAATCATAAGAATAAGTCTTCGTCTTGGTCTTTGTTCTTGATGCTTTTGGGTCTTCTGCCAAGCTTGGTTTCTCACCTTGAGATGTTCAACAAACTTTCTTCATATCCACGACGATTTGGAATTTATCAAAACCCATCAAAAACCAAACATTACTTTAATACAACGTTTACGGTAAAGTGTGTTCCAACAATTTCATCTTTTTTGGTAATGAAAAATAAGACGGGGATATGCATATAAGGGTGGTTTTTAAAGTTCTCCCTTTGTTTATGCATAAGTTAGAAAGGGTTCATTTAGAGAACATGTTCCCCCTTACTTTATGCATATCCTTTATCATTCTCCTTTTGAAATTAACATAAATATTTTTAAAGCATAAGGATTTTATTAATGTAAAGGAAATGTGGAGTAGACTACGTAAGCATGAAACATAAAAAACATAAAGTAAAAAAAGAGATATAAGAGAAAAGAGAGAAAAATTCTAGGGAGCCAAGGCTTAGTTATCATCCTCATCCTTGTTGTCCTCATCCTCTTCCTCATCATCCTTCACGTCCATTGGG